GAGAGAGAGAGAGAGAGGTTATGTGCATATGTATGAAGTTGCCCACAGAGGCATCAGATCCCCCAGAAGTTGGAGTTATAATTGGTTGTGAACTGCCCATTGTGGCTGCTAGGAATTAAGTTGGGTCCTCTGGAAGAGTAAGAACTTAACTGCTGAGCTCTATCTCCAGCCCAAATGATAAATGCTTATTGTTGAAAAGTTAAACTAAGACAATAAAAAAAGAGAAAGACAAAACTATGCATGACCTCTGCAGGCATTGCATGACAAGGGTGCACTTACCTACATGCAGGCAATACATGCATACACATAAAATAAAAATAATAAATAAAATTAAAAAAAAAATAACAACGCTATCGCCAGCATTCTGGTATACATCTTTGCTTTTTTCTTTCAAGGTATGTGCACAAAAACCGTGGACATTACTTGGCATTTTCTATACTTTTTGTTACCTAAACAATGGATGTAAAAAACAGTGTTTTTCATGGTGCACATAGGTCCACAGTATAAACTGTAATTTACCCACAATTGACAGAAAATAACAGTTAACTTTTGTTTCCACTACACTGTATTATGTAATGATGCTGCAGTGAATATTGTCATTAGTGTGTGTGCATTCCTGAGTATTTCCACTGAATGAACTAGAAATTGAATTCACAAGTAGGAGGGTAGGCTTATTGTTTATGTTATTTTTTTGAGACAAGGTCTCCCTGTAGCCATAGCTAGCCTGGAACTCACTATATAGACCAGGTTGGCCTCGAACTCACAGAGATCCGCCTGCCTCTACCTCTCCAGTGCTGGGACTAAAGGCATGTGCTACCACGCCAGGTGGTATTATTATTATTATTATTATTATTATTATTATTTTATAATTAAAAAAAATTTTACATGTATGCATGTATTGCTTGTGTGTAGGTAAGTGCACCTGTGTCATGCAATGCCTGTGGAGAAGAGGCTGTCGAATCCCCTGGAACTGGAGTTGTGGACAGTTGTTAGCTGCCATGTGGATGCTGGGATTCAAACCCAGGTCTTCTGCAAGAACAGCCTGTGTTCTTAACTGCTGAGCCATCGCTCCAGCCCCCGGTAAACTTATTAAGTTATCTTTCACTCCAAGTCTGCCTGGTAATGCAGAATTTTCCTGTGTCACAGACCCTGTTTAGGGTTAGCAAGAGGGCTGACTGGAAAATTGAAGGTTTGCTTAGGGTCTTGGTCTTTTTTTTGTTGTTCTTATCTTTTGCCAATCTCCAGCTTTGTCTTATACCCTTACAACTACCTACCAACCCTGCACTGACCAGCCAATATCCTCTTTCAGAGGTTTGGGATCTGGTTCCCAAACCAGGGATGATATTGCAAACCAAATGTCATTTGCATGGGATGTAGTCATGTAGTTCAGCTGGCAGAGCTCTTGCTGCTGTGCATGAAGGCCTACATTTAATTCCCAGCAGTACAGAAACCGGGTGTGGCTGTGCATACCAGTAATCCTAACAACTTGGGAAGTGGAGTGAGGAGAAGCTCAAGGTTGGGGCTCAGAAGTTAAGAGCACTGACTGCTCTTGCAGAGGACCCAGGTTTGATTCCTGGATGGCTAACAACCACCTGTAACTCTAGTTCCAGGGGATCTGATGCCCTCTTCTGATCTCTGAGGGCATTGCACAACACAAGTGCACCCCCCTACATGCAGGCAATATACTCATACACATTAAAAAAAAAAAAAAAGCTCAAAGTGATCCCCTGCTAAACAGGGAGTTCAAGCCTAAAATACAGGATACTCTGCCTCCAAAAAGAAAAAAAAACCTCTCAGACTCTTGGCCTGGTCCCCAGTCTTAGGAAGAAATGCCAGCTGCTACCAGCACCAATACTGTGCTACCCCAGTGCCAATGTTCCCTCTGCCTGGCTCAGTCTTCCAATAGCTATGTGACAATTTAGTATTAAATTTTCTGTATTAAAGTAATTATGTCTTTCTGTTTTCCCTTCTGGGCCACGAATGATAAAAAGAACGTAAGAGTGGATGAAGAGCTGGCTCGGTGGCTAAGAGCACTAGCTGTTCTTCCAGAGGACCTGGGTTTGGTTCCCAGCACCCACATGGAGGCTAACAACTGTCCAAAACTCCAGTTCTAGGGGATATGACACCCTCTTCTGAACTCTGTGAGGCACTACATGACATGGGTGCTTGCTACTGTTTCTAAAAAAAGGATGGTAAAAAGTCTTTCTACTTACTTTAGACTTAAGAGAATATGGGTGGGCTAGCAGAGCAAGGAAACTCTTAGTAGATGTATCAAAGGAACAGTGATGGGGGGGCGTTGTCTCTTTTTGGGACAGGGTCTCCCTGTAGGTCCAGCTGTCCTGGAACTCGCTATGTAGACCCGGCTGGCCTCGAACTCACAGAGATCTGCCTGCCAATGCCTCCCAAGTTCCAGGACTAAAGATGTATGCCACCATGCCCGGTCCATTCTTTTTCTTTTAATATTTTATTATTAAGCTGGGCATCGTGGTGCACACCTTTAATCCCAGCACTTGGGAGGCTGAGGCAGGTGGACCTCTGTGAGTTCGAGGCAAGCCTGGTCTACACAGTGAATTCCAGGTCAGCTGTGACTACAGGGAGACCCTGTATCAAAAAAAAAAAATTATTTAATGTGTACAAGAGTATTGCCTGTATGTATATAAGTGCACCTGTGCCATGCAATTCCCAAGGTCAGAGGGGGTGTCAAGATTCCCTGAACTGGAGATGTGACCATTGCTAGCCTCTATGTGGGTGCCGGAGACCAGACTGGGTCCTTTGCAAGAGCAGTCAGTGCTGTTAACTGCAGAGCCATCTCTGAAGCCCCACAGAAAGATTCTTAAACCTCTCAGAAGAGGAGGGGGATGGCTAGCACAGGTCCCAAACAGGGAGGGAGGGACATTTGTCCATGAACCAAGGAGTCTTCATACAGGTCGGACCTATGAATAGTAAGGGGCTATATATATGAGCCATGGTTTCCTGTTAAAACATGGTAAGGACAGTTCACTAAACACCAAGGACACTGAGTTCCAGGTTCATCAGAGGTAAGGACAGATCACAGTTGCTATCCTAAGGAGTATACAAACCAGCAAATGTTCCACTAGGACAATCTCACACCTTTGCTAGGAGACAAACGAATCAGACCAACAGTTTAAAAGTCAAATAAGAAATCAAAATTTGGAATATAATTCAGTCCTTAGAGGAGGCTCTCCCTGCATCACATCCCATATGCTGTCATTCCAATTGTAAGTCAGCACGCAGAACAGTATCCAACCAGTATCAGGTGCTCAGCAAAGACTATCAGTTAATGAATGAGGAGAAGACTCCCAGAAGCCCCCAGAAATCCTGATTTCACTGGCTTGGGTGAGGTCTAATAAATTTTTGGTTGCTGCTTTGCTTTTTGAGTTAAGGCCTCATGTAGATCAAGCTGGCCTTGAACTTGCCCTGTAGTCAAGGATGGCCTTGAACTCCTGATCTTTCCACTTCTATCTCCCAAGTGCTGGGATCACAGGGGTGCCCCAGCCTACCCAGCTCTGAAGAACATTTTTAACAAGTTCTCTATTTTGCTCACACACAGGGTAATCTCACTCATTAAAACACCAACTCAAACTACTGATATCAAACAGATTCTGCTAAATCACACTAGTTATGCACAATGGCCAACGCACTATTTCAACAGCCAGGGAGCAAAGAGCCAAGAGCTTGTACCTTGAGGGCTGTATGTAAACAGGTGATACTCAAAAGTGGGTGTGAGGACACTAGATGGCAGGATTGGTCATTCACCCATTTAGCTATTCATTTTAGCTCACAAGTTTAGATACTGACTTTGGACAACAGTGTCTACCACAAGGCACACCCTGCAACATACCTGTATAGAACTTCATGAGGGACGGGACCAGCAATTTGGTGGAGAGGGGATGGTTCTCAATCATCTCAAAGAACTTCTGAGTCCGAGGCTGGACGGCAGGGTTGGTCATGAACATGACCTCCACCAGCTTGGCCACTAGGTAAGGGTTTCGGATGTAGTTCTGGTTGCACAGCATCACAACAAGGAACATCACAACGTCCTGAGTACAGGGCTCGTAAAGCACCTGAGGAGAATACCTGAGCAGAGGCAAGAAGGTAAGAGGTGAGCTGCTGGGAGCTGGGGTGGGGTCGCTAATCCAGGAGGGGAACACAGGGCAAACTGGGAGTAAGGAGACCTTTGAATTGTTGAGTTTAAAGTGACTACACACATTGTAAGAACACAGATTTAGAACAAGTATGTTTATTGGCTATAGCGTGTTATATTACCTTCTGATACTTTAGAAAATAAACCAAAATTATAATCAATTTCACAAAAAGAGCCTCACTATCAAAAGGCTTTTTCTTAAGGCATGGCTTCAAATAGCTTAGCTGGGCTCCAATTCACTGTGTAGCCAACTCTGATCCTCTTGCCTCCTCCACCTTTGAAGGGCTAGGATCACAGGCACGCATGACCATGTCTGGCTTAAAAAGGTTTAGATGGGGCTGGAGAGATGGCTCAGCAATTAAGGACACTGGCTGTTCTTGCAGAAGACCTGGGTTCAAATCCCAGCACCCACATGGTAGCTAACAACTGTCTGTAACTCCAGTCCCAGGGGATCTGACAGCCTCGTCTGACGTCAGCAGGCATTGCAAGACACAGGTGAACTTACCAACAAGCAGGCAATGCACACAGGCACATAAAATAAAAAATAAATTAATTAAAAAAAAAAAGATTTTGATGAGGAGCTAGAGAGATGGCTCAGCGTTTAAGATCACTGACCGCTGTTGCAGAGGACCTGGGTTCGATTCCTAGTACCACATGGCAGCTAACAACTGTCCTTAACTCCAGTTTCAAATGATCCAACGCCCTTTTCTGACCTCCAAGGGCACTGCATGACACACACATGAGGCAATATACTCATTTACATAAAAGTAATAAAATTTTTTAAAATTTTATATATTTTTAAGAGTATGCATGTATTGCCTGCATGTAGGGAAGTGCACCCGTGCATGCAATGTCCACAGAAGTCAGAAGAGGCTGTCAGATCCCCTGGGACTGGAGTTACGGACACTTGTTAGCTGCCATGTGGGTGCTGGGATTCGAACTCAGGTCTTCTGCAAGAACAACCAGTGTTCTTAACTGCTGAGCCATCTTTCCAGGCCCATAAAATAGTTTTTAAAAAAAGGTTTTGATGAAGTTAATGTTTCAATTTGAAAACTTGTTTTAGGGTCAAGAAGATGCTTAAACAGGGAGCAAACTTGTTGCCAAGCCTGACAACAACTTGAGTGCAATCCCCATGATGCACCTATTTTAAAGAAAATTTGTTTCAATTAAAAAATAAAAATACATTTTGAAATATGATTAATATGCTTAAATTCCAAAGCTGGCTTTTTTCAGCAAGAAAACAATGTCCTTTTAAAAAAAGATTTACTGGGAGCTGCACAGATGGCTCAGTAGTCGGAACGCGTACCTGTGCTCACGTGCACACACCACACATACACATAATTTAAAAAATAATAAAATATCAATTTTTTTTTTTTTTGTCTTTTTAAGACAGGGTCTCCCTGTAGCCCCAGCTGGCCTGGAACTCACAAAGATCCTCCCAAGTGCTGGGATTAAAGGCATGAGCCACCATACCCTGCATAAGATGCAAATCTTTTTTTAAAAAAAATTTTTAATAACTACATGATTAGAAGAAGCATTTCACTACAGCTTTAACATATTCAGTGACACACTCCAGAGCAAGAGTACATCTCTTTCACAAGCGGGTGCAAGTTTCTAGGTTCACAGTTTAGTTAATATTTATACAATATTGAACTCAGTATGAGCCCTGTAAGACATAAAATTGAATGAGTTTTTAAACCTTTATAAAAGATCTCCATTTCATTTTAGAATGTATTGTTCCTTGCAGAAAGACTCATTGTTTATGCTACTAACACTGAGATGTTGGCGCATGCATTCTAATCTGTATTTGATTATTACTACTCATAATCGGTTGCACTTGGATCCTTGGCACCTGTGTATGTCTATAAAGTCATCGGGTAGATTTCAATGGTAATGTTTATCACCTCTACCAATTAATCTTTAAAAAATTAAAAAAATTTATCTATGTTTGTAAGTCTGTCTGTATGTGTATGGGTGCCTGTGGAGGCCAGAAAAGAGTATCAGGCCTTCACCACTGAGGGATTCAGCACTGAGGGCACCAGTGCTCAAAATATGTATTTTAGGAACTGAATATGACTGTAAAAAATAAGACAAAAAAACAAAACCCACCACCCACCCAAACAATCAAACACACAAATGAACAAAACCCCCCCTTGAATACCAGTTATATGGTCAAAAAATTTCTTTACAAGCTTTTTCTAATCTTGCAAATGGACAAATTTTGGCTCAAAATATAGATGTGGGTATTTCTGGTCTTGGATGATCACTGGGGAATTTATTTTATTTTTATTCTTTTGTCTTTTTTTGGGGGGGGGTCTTTTTGAGACAGGGTCTCCACGTAGCCCCAGCTGACCTGGAACTCAATATGTAGACAAGGCTGGCTTTGAACTCAGAGATCCACCTGTCTCTGCCTCCCTAGTGCTGGGATTAAGGGCATGTGCCACCACACCCGGCTTTCACTGGGGAATTTATAAACAATTCCTTCTGTTTCTCAGGGACACACCCTCGGTTATCAGAACTTCTGGAATCAGCCTAGTGCCACATGTCAATGTATTTTTAGGCCTAAATGAAGCCTGCAGATTGTTCATGACATTATGTACACAGTGTGTAAAAAAAGGATCAGAATGTAGAAGCACTTACTGTACAATAAAAAATAAAAATTCAGCAACATCTTCTACATAAAACTCAGGCAATGCTGCAAATACCTTGGGGACCTCTGAACTTAAAGGCAGTGTTATGCTGCAGGAGAGGAAAAACAAGCAGTTTACAAAGTGAAATGTCACATCAAATTATAAGAATATTATACCACTATAAAAAAATCTCTTATTGTATAATAGAGCTATTTTTTTTTTTGGTCTTTTTGAGGCAGGGTCTCCCTGTAGCCCCAGCTGGCCTGGAACTCTCTATGTAGGCCAGGCTGGCCTGGAAGTCACAGAAGTCCCCTGCTTCTGCTTCCCAAGTGCTGGGATATAAGGCATGTGCCACCATGCCTGGCTAGCTATGTAAAATGTACACCGGCAAAGAGACAACTGTGGCCTGAAAGAAACAGAATGATGGCAACAGCAGGCGTGTGCTGTCTGCAAAATATTTTCCCTTGTCTTGATTTCTCTCTTTTGTGTTTTTTTTTTTGTTTGTTTGTTTTGAGACAGGGTCTTCCTATAGCCCCAGCTGGCCTGGAACTCACTATGTAGACCAGGCTGGCCTCAAACTCACAGAGATCTGCCTGCCTCTGCCTCCCTAGTGCTGGGATAAAAGGCATGTGTCCCCATGCCTGGCTGTCTTGATTTCTTGCTAGAGTCAATGCAGTAGGTAAAACTGGAAGTAAATTAATAGGTCAGATTTGGTCACTTTGTGCAACTCCAAATGCGGTCACACTGCCACACATACATTTTATATAACATTTTCCACTCTTTCAGGGGGTGTAGACCAACCTCACACACATCTGTGACTTAGGAGCTTCATAGTAAACATTAAACAGCAATAAATTAAATCACAGTGACTGTCAACGTCCTTAGCTCACGCTGTGAGGGTCAGGCATCTTCCTGACTTGGTACTTAGGAGGGCTCTACAGCCTGTTGTTTATAGCATTCTGTTTCCAATTTACTGATTTGCTTTTTTACCAATTCAAGATTTTATACCAAATTAAAAAATATTGTCATGAAAAAATATGTACCTAAGATTATAATTAATTACCGGGGAATATTAATATGATTCCACAGTCTACGTAACATATACGTAATCTAGAAAGTGAATCCCCAAGAGGGTAAGGGTCTGGCTTTAGCTGCTGACTCTGAAGAACAACCGAGACACGCAGACAGGTGGAGGAGGCAGGAAAGAGCGCACTCACTCGGGATACGCAGGGTCCAGGATGCGGAGCAGCAGCTGAATGAGAAGGCCATAAAAATTCAGACATCTTCTCAGGAAGCTCTCGTCAAGTAAGCCAGCGTCAGCACAGGCCTTGCACCGTACCAGTTTCTGTGGAAGTAGGTGTACCCCCACCCGTAGATTAGTCCAGAGCCAAGGCCCTGCAGCACGACTAGGCAGGGCGAGGGGCCAGGTGAGGAGAATCTAGGATCTAGAGCTTCTAGGATTTCCCCTGTAACAAGCTCTTGTGTGTCAAGATCTTTTTTGGAGAAAACCACAAGGTAGGTAGGTAGGCCATGCAAACCACTGAGCACAGAGTTCAGCACACAGTTAGTGCTCGAAGTTAGTCATTATTGTCATTTTTCAGTGACTTGGTAGGGTGACGGGGTTGACAGGGAGGCCCTCTGGGTGTCAGGACAGTTAGTGGAAAAAAGCCAGACAAATTGGACAACCACTTCTGATCTGCCCTCAGGCCTCTGCCCACTAGGCTACAATACTTATCTCAGAGGACTGAGACACGTATGTACACACACAGCCATAGACGAATTTTAAACAGCTCCTCAAAACACAGCTGTGGAATATGAAGGGGCTGCAGACCCGAGTGGAAAGCCCCTGGTGTAGTCTGTACTTATTGTTGTTGTTGCTGTTGTTAATGCTGTTCTGTAGCTTAGACTGGTCGTGAACTCACTATGTAGTCCAGGCTGGCTTTAAACTCACAGCCATCCTGCTATCTCAGCCTCCCAATTGCTGGGCTTATAGGTGTGAGCCATCATGCCCAGTTGTAGTTTGTACCTTAAAGGAGTCTAGTCTATTAGCAAATGAAAACCTGAACTTTTAACTTGTCACAGGAATCAAAGAGCTACTTTTCTTTATATCCTACTAATCAACAGAATGCATGACCAGCTAATAACATTCAGCTTTATAATTTAAAGATAAAACAGAAAAATGTAGAAATTCACTATCTTTATTTTCCTGTGCAAGGTCAGTCAGCATTTGTTTTTAGCTGAGTTTTACCAGCAGGAATAATTCCATCTAAAGTCAGGTTATACGTAACACATCATTTTCAACTAAAAATGAGGAATGAGGGGCAAACGACAAAGATCTTTGTACTACCATGGGTACACTTCATCATGCATCTCCACAAAGTGTGGCTGGATGCATGAGAGCTGGTGTGAGGTAGGTGGGTTGGGGGTCAGGAGCAGCAGGTGGGCAGGTCTGTCACAGGATAGGGGCAGGATGGCGAGACGAAACTAGGGATGAGAAAACCCAAGAATTCATGTTCCTGCATAAGAAAGTACGTATTCTCTGCTGAGGTAACTATCATATGCAGAAATATGTAAGGTATCAGCAAGTTTCAGATCTTCCTATTTCTTCTTGAGGGAAGAGAGTAGGAACACTAAAATGCTCACTTGAGGTACATAATCTGGGAGAAAACCCACTACACCGTGCAGTTGGCCCACAGTTACTCCAATGAACTGTACAAACCTTAAGCTGAGTTTTACAGCGCTTCAGCATCTCACGGTGTCTGGTTGCCAGTGGGGAATCTTTCCACTGGCTTTCATTATTTTTCAAATCTTCCACAGTTCTGAAATAAAAAACTAACAGTCATATCAAAGAAAATACCCAGATATATCTTATCTATTCATTTTGACCATTCATGGACTATCAGACACAGTTTCTTTGCATTGAAGTATTTTTAGAACCAGAGCACTTCCTACTATGACAAGTTCTGATCTAACTGGCGGCATCTGTCTTTCTCCCTGGCTCGTAATATAACAATGTATATTAAAAATGCACTTCAGATTTGATGAAATTTAATAACCCTCTTTGGAAGAAAAGACATTATTCTCTTACAGTTCTGAGGTTAAAAAAAAAAAAGAAAAAAGAAAAAAGGACTTTCTTCTGAAAATTCAAAGCTAATTCAACCCAATCAACTGCCAAAGCAAATGTTGTCTGACCAGTGGCCCTCCCTCCCTCCCTATCTCCCCTCCCCTTCCTTCCCTGCTGTCCTTCCCCCTCTTGGAGTGCCCTCCTCTGAGACTGCTGCTGCGGCCTGCTATTTCCCGTCATCTGGGTGTCTACTCAAACATCTCCTGTCATGGAAAGACCATCTTCCCTCATCATCTAATATGCTGCCTATTTTTATTTACTTAAAAAATTTTGATGTACTTTAATTTTATGTGTATGAATGTTTAGCCTGCATGTATCCAAGTACACCTGTGTCATGCGATATTCATGGAGGTCAGAGGCAGGTGGTGGATCCCCTGGAACTGGAGTTATGGACGGCCGACAGCTACCATGTGGGTGCTGGGTACTGAACCCAGGTCCTCTGCAAGAACAGCCAGTGCTCTTAACCGCGGAGCTGTCTCTCCAGTACCAATGCTACCTCTTTTTAAACACTGGCTCAGGGGTTGGGGATTTTTAGCTCAGTGGTAGAGTGCTTGCCTAGCAAGAGCATGGCCCTGGGTTCAGTCCTCAGCTCCAAAAAAAAAAAAAGAAAAAAAAATAGACAAAATAACAAATAAATACTGACTCACTTACCATGATTCCACAGTTCTCTCAAGAACATATATAGAAAACCAGAGACTGCTAAATGTCTGACTATCATACTTCCCAGAGTCCTTTGCTGTCAGCATTTCTGTAAGACCTAGCAAGAGCAGACCTCACTGATGGCAGTGACTATCAAGGGGCACTTGCAGAAGTGTCTGGAAGCAGATGGTGGTAGAGGGGCTGAGGCTGTGCTATCAGGCTGAGATAGCTTGTTAATCTCTGCTCAGAGTATCATCCAATCTTTTCCAGCTATTCTAATGATTTAAATAACTCCCCATAATACTCTTTTCTGTTTATCCCAGAAAAAGCAGATTCTTTGGTCTGTAACTGAAGCATGAGTATGGTAAACAGTGCGATGGGACTTTGAGGACGCCACTTCCTGATCCTGGGATGGAACCTGTAATATGTGGCCATAAGCGGCACCAGGGACTTTGTAGATGGAAGGGTAGAAACACCTATGTGGGGAGGCCATCCTGGATTATCTGGGTGACTCAGTATTAGCACAAAGGTCCTTCTAAGAGAAAGAGGGGCTAGGAGTGAGGGGGATGTGACGATGAGGTCAGACAGGGAGATCTGGAGACATTCTGCTTCTGGCTTTAAAAATGAGGTAAGTGCATCATGAGGCAAGAAAGTGGGAAGCCTCCTGAAACTGGAAAAAGCAAGAAACAATCTCCCCGCTGAGTCTGCAAAAGGTGCAGCCCTGACTGTAGGGCTTCTGACTTACAGAGCATAAAGGTACCATTTGTGTTAAGTCACTTTTTCATAATGTGGGGTATGGCCAAAGGAACTAATATAATAACAAACATGGTTATGGGCACCACATGAGGGTACAGAGAACAGGCCCTCATGAAAAATGAGTGCCTGGAGTCAGCTTTGTAACTAGCTGGCCTTAAAGTGGTACAGATCCAGCCACTGATGGGCACAGATGCTGGCAGCCCACAGCTCTGAGTGACATCATGTCAACACAGAGATGGAGTGCTTACTTAATGCTGGAAGAGCACAGGGAAAGAAAGAAGACAGGCCCAAGGTCTTAAAAGTCTCACCTCAAGGAGGAGGCAGTGAACCATGGGGCTCCTAAGAAGTAGAGTATGGACGAACAATCACAAAAGTACAACATGGGCTATGTGACGTTCATAACCTTCCTGTATCTCCTCATGAAAGTCAGGGCAAGGGCTAGGACCCAAAGGGCAGAGTTTGGGAGAATGTGATAATTCCATATACCCAAATCTCGAAATCCCCTGAGTCAGCTTGCTGGCAGAGGCAGCTCTTATAATGACCTCACCTGAGGAGACCGCCTTGCAGGGTAAGGCAGATTTCCCTTGGGTTCCACCCCATCACCCTTCATCGCCTCCAGAACCACAACTAGAGTCAGATCAAGGGCTGCCCTGAGGAGAAATTACAAAATCACATGCAGGAGCAGATGTTTGAAGGGGGAAAATATGGGAACAAAAGGAATTGGGAAAAAATAAGGGAATAATAAAACTTCTATTAGTTTTATATAACTGTAATAGGCCCTAAGAAACAATACAAGCATTGTCCTAGCATTCTGGAAGTAAGAAGTCCAAGATGGGTCAGCAGAGATAGTTCTGCGTGTGGGGAGAGATGTTCCCTAGTCATTCCTGCTTTCTAGGCTATGGGCATACTTAAGCTTGTGACTTCAGATGTTTCTGACCTCCGCTTCCATCGTTACAGTTCTTTATCTTTTTTGGCCTTCTTGCCTCCTTACAAAGGCCTTTGTGATGATGCTATGCTGGCCCAGCTGATCCAGGATAATTTCCCCTAGACCATGGGAGGAAGTCACAGGTTCTAGGGCCTAGGATATGGACATCTTCTACCTACTGCAACCATTTTACCAGGAACATGGGGATATATGTGGGGTTGGCAGTGTGGATGGATGCTGGAGAAGCTTGGCAAGCAAGAGAGGAGCACTAACATTTCTACGGGGGCGAGACTAAACTTACTGTCACAACTGTATCCACCAGATGTCTGAACGATTGGAAAGGGTTCTAACTGTGGGCCCAACTAGCTTAGCAGAATTTGAAATGGATAGTAACCTAGCTCAGTTGCTTGGTATTTAAAAACTTAAAAGAAAAAAGGAAAAATGAATGCAATCTGGAATATTAATGAGAATTGGCCATATGTGATTTGCTCAGAAAACACTCCTCCCAACACACTCTCTCTCTTTCTCTCTCTCTCTCTCTCTCTCACACACACACACACACACACACACACACTCTTTCACCCCCACCCCCCATATACACATACTGCACTTGACTGTGTCCAAGAGGTGGCAGACAGGGCCACTGAAATGGACACACCAGAGTCCATAAGCATGATGAGATCTCAGATGACAACCATCCTGAGGTGAAGAAGCAGACTAATCCACAATCATAGTTAAAATTTGCATAAGCCTCTCTTCATGATGGATATTTGTGTGTGTGCGCACGCGCGCACACCAGGCCTCAAAGCGGCGGTCAGGGGATGGCCCCTGGGAGTTGATTCTCTCCTTCTACCATGTGGGTCTAGGGGTTCAGGATTGACAGCAAATGCCTTTACCAGATGAGCCCTCAATGACTGATATTAAAAGCTGACAAAAATCAGTAAGTGTAAGGAAACTTTGATAAAAACAAGAACAAATGTGGCCTGTAAGATACATACAGGCAGTAGAGTATGCAACATAGAAAATACATTCTTCTTAGGTCTGTAAGGCAGCTGTACATTAGTAACAAGGCTTAATGCAAGTCTTGATGAGCTTCAAAAGTCACAAATCACAAAGACTATAGCCTTTGATCACAATGCCATTTAGCTAGAAAATATTAGTAAAAGACAAACGTCCTGATATAAAGCCCCAACTATCAAATTCCATTAATTTTTTTCTCTGCTGAATAGTGAAGCAAGATATCTGGTATCTTTGTGGGGTGAACAGAAATTGAGACCTTTCCTAGAGTAAATGTGTTTTCTTTATTGAGACAGGGTCTCCCGGCAGCCCCAGTTGGCCTGGAACTCATATGTAGACCAGGCTGGGCTTGAACTCACAGAGATCCACCTACCTCTGCCTCTCAAGTGCTGGGATAAAAGGTGTGCACCACCACATCCGGCTAAGCAATATATTTGTAAACAGCCAAAAAGAAATATTTTGAAAGAAATACGACATGTTACACTAAACATGAGGGATGTATTTAAAGTCATGCTTTGAGGAAAACTAGTCTTAAACACATGTATGTACAGGAAAGGGCTGACTAGAAATGATACTTAAGTCTCTATCTCAAGAGGCAACAGAAATCCTGAGAAAAAATACAATTAAAACTGAGGCAGCTGATCCAAAAGACAATGAAATGAAGGGGAGATTATGAATAGTTTTATGCCTAAAATTTTTGAAAGTTCATATTCTTGGGAAAGAATCTGGTACACTGCCAACTCTCAGGCCTGACAACTCCAGCCCTGAATGTGAGGATGAAAAGCCCAAGTTCCACACATTCACCTTTTATAATGAATATTTAAAAAGGGAACATTTCCCAGTTAATTCCATGAGGCAAGTATAACTTTGACAAAAAAAAAAAAAAATAATCTAAGAGACACTTAACAAGAAAGGAAAACTATGGGTCAAGGTTTCTCTCAAACAGATTCAAAAATCCTAAAAAAAAATTCAGCAGCAAATAACCAATAAGATATAAAAACAATAAAAGCGGGGGCTAGAGATGGCTCAGTGGTTAAGAGCACTGGCTGCTCTTGCAGAGGACCTGAGTTTGGTTCTCAACACCCACACGGCAAAACAACCATCCATAACTCTAGTTCAAGGGGATCTGATACCCTCTTCTAACCTCCATGGGCATTGCATCACATGGGTATGCTTATATACATGTAGGCAATACACTCAAACAAATAAAAACAAGTTGAGTTTATTCCAGGACTGAACATCAGATGAAACCAATATAATTCAACCCACATCTAAAGAACAGAGAAAAGACATTAACTTGCGTGATCTGAAAAATAGGATATCAAAGTGCTTTCTGTCTCTCATCACCTGGATGAGACAAATTTCAAGGTTATAAGCAGTTTCCCCTCATTTGAGGTTTGATTTTCTATAGTTTCAGTACCCATGGTCAAACATGGTAAGTGCAGCACAACGAGAGAGAGAGAGAGAGAGAGAGAGACCCCCATATAGTCCAAGCTGGCCCCGAATTCATTACGTATCCAAGGATGACCTTGAAATTTGTCTCCACCTCACAAGTGCTGAGATCCCAGGCGTGTATGCCACCATGCCCAGTGACATAACTTTTATTACAGTATACTATTATAACTGTTCTATTTTATTATTAGTTGTAACATGCTTAATTTATCAAGGTTTGGTGGTATCTATTTTTGGCATCCATGAGGCAGCTCAGGCTACTGCTTCCATTTAACTCTGTATTAGAAATGTAGCCAGTGCACTAAGCATAAAAGTGCAGGCGGAAAAAATAACTGCGATCATTTACAATCAACATGATCAAACACGGAGAAAAAGCAAGCATCCAGGGATTAAGTATTAGAATAAAGGATTAGAGGAGGGCGGACAGAGCTAAACTCAACAAAAAGTCGAAGTGACTTCCATCAGTATTTTAAATGGCTTGTTCAAGTATTTGCTTCCACATTCCTGCAGTTTTCATTTGTCTGGAGAAGCTAGAACATCAGAAGAAATGCTTGGATTAAGCAGCCACAATGGTGCTGATGATCTGATGACTGGCAGCTGGGTCGCTAGGTTGTTTGGGCTCCTTGCACAGGCAACAGGTCTAACAGGGAATTACAGACTTGTCCTGATTATTATGGGGTGTGGGGGGGGTATAAGTGTGTGACAGTCCAGGGCCAGAGGGGCTCTGTTTAGAAGGCAGGGGGCGGCTGGAAGTAGTTCCTAGTAATAGCATGTCCAGTAGACAAAGCTGGTAATAACTACGAGAAATGCCAAAGGTTCAGAACGGGAAATCAAGCTCCAGATCATCAAGACCTGACCATATGCAGTCCACATTCACATCTATTCATCCCCAGGACAGGGATCCTGGCACATACCTATTGAGCTCCCGGATGGCTCGGAGTCTGCGGATATAGCGACGGCAACTGGGTAGGATAGAGAGGTGGTGAGCGTGCAGGGTGAGAAAGAAGCATTCCGTAGGGAATTTTGGCTCAGAAAATGGAGGCTGATCTCCATCTATGAAAAAAACCCAACAACACGATTCCCTAAGTAAAAGCAATTGCAAGCTGTAAGGAAAAAGTTCAGCTCTGAAGGAAAATAACAATTCAAAGTATTTTAGAAAGCTAAGGATACTTTCTCTGTGTGTGGCCTAAAGACAGATTTCCTAAGTGCACATGTGTGTGGAAGGCCAGAGGTTGCATTGGGTGTCTTCTTCCTCCTTTGCTTTTGAGACTGAACACCACTGAAGCTGGTGTCACCAATCAGCCAGGCTGGTTGGCCAATGAGCCCCATGGATCATCTTGTCTCTACCTACCCAGCATGGTGGTTACTGATGTGTACCACACCCAGCTTTTATGTGGGTGTTGGGGATCTGAACTCAGGACCTCATGCTTGACTATAATCACCTCACTGAATGAACCAACTCCCCACAAGAATACTTTTTGAAATTACAAACTTAAGTCATGTTGTAAGAGGAGCAAAATCCTATGAGTTTCTTTACTGGCCAGGGATCCATGTTTGCATGAATGTCCATAAGTCTTCAGGGTTTGAGATAGGGTCTCCTTGTCTCTGCAGTGGACCTGGAACTCCCTATGTAGATCAGGCTGGCCTGGATCTTACAGAGATCCGCCTGCCTCTGAGTGCTGGGATTAAAGGCATGTATGACCACGCCTGGCAATAATGTTAACTTATTAATAGATTACTGACACTTTCCTATATGTTTATGTTTTTTTTTCTGTACCATAAATAGTATTGCTAAGAAAACTACGCATAAAATTAGCTTTAGGAATACATTCTGAAAAGCAGAATGACTGAGGATACTATTTCATTTGTCTGGAGAAGCTGGAACATCAGAAGAAATGCTTGGATTAAGCAGTCGCAATGGTGCTGATGATGACTGGCAGCTGGGTTGCTAGCATGTGTGGGCTCCTTCCACAGACAGGTCTAAAGGGAAATTACAGGCTTTTCCTGATTATCTATTATATATTTCTTTTTTTTTAAATTTATTTTTATTTCATGTGTATGAGTTATGTCTGCATGTACATAAGTGCACCTGTGTTATACAATGCCCAAGGAAGCCAGAGAGGGCATTAGATCCCCTGGAACTGGAGTTATGGCTAGTTGTTAGCTGACATGTGGTGCGGAGATTTGAACCCGGATCTTCTGTAAGAGCAGCACTGTTCTTTATCACTGAGCCATCTCTCCAGCCCCTATATATTTCTTTTTAACTGACACATACTTGTACACATTTATAGGGTAGAGCATAGCACATCAATACATGTGTACAACATGCCGTGACCAGAGTGGAGTAGCTGACATTCATCACCTCACTTATCATTTCCTTCTATTACGAACATTCGCAATCCTCTTAGCAGCTATCTTGAAATACACAGCTAACTGTTGTTTTAACACAGCTATCCCGCTGTGTTAAAGAATTTCAGAGGTGATTTCTCCTCTGCTACGGTACCCTTAGCCAGTTGCAGTGCTGCAGGTGTACACAGCCCTGATACTTGGGATTTTGAGGCAGGAGGATTGCTTGAGTCTAAGAGCCTGAGGCTAGCCTAGGAAACACAGCAAGAACACATTTAAAACCTAACCGGTCAACTGTACTGCTGTTGTAGTAACTGTTTTCTCTACCAGACTTACCTTTCAAAAGTAGTATGATTTTATATTCTCCAAATTAATTTTGATTAACCAAATAAACTTACTATATAGCACTTATTTCTTTCTTTTCTTGGTTTTGTGAGGTACGGTCTCCATGTAAGCATGGATACATCCTAGGCCATGGATAACTTTTTAATATTTATAACAAACTGCCATATGATTTTGACTTTTGTAACTACACATACATTTTATGTTACCAAGAGGAGAGACTATCACCATCATACCTTCAAAATATTCCAATTTTTTTTTTTTTTTTTTTTTTTTTTTTTTTTTTTTTGAAAAAAGGGCCCTTTTTTTTTTTTTCTTTTTTTTTTTTTTTTTTTTGTGTGGGTTGTTGGGTGGTGT